TCCTCCTCATCATCATCACCATCATCATCATCTCATCATCATCATCATCATCATCATCATCATCATCATCATCATCATCATCATCATCATCATCATCATCATCATCATCATCATCATCATCATCATCATCATCATCATCATCATCATCATCATCACATCATCATCATATCATCACCATCATCATCATTCATCATCATCATTCATCATCATCATCATCATCATCATCATCATCATCATCATCATGCATCATTCATCATCATCATCATCATCATCATCATCATCATCATCATCATCATCATCAATCATCATCATCATCATCATCATCCATCATCATCATCATCATCACATCATCATCATCATCATCATCATCATCATCATCAGCATCAGCATCATCAGCATCATCATCATCACCAGCATCATCATCATCATCATCATCCTCATCATCATCATAATCATCATCATCGTCATCGTCATCGTCATCGTCATCGTCATCATCATCATCATCATCATCATCATCATCATCATCATCATCATCATCATCATCATCATCATCATCTTTCTCGCCCACCACGAACACACCAATATAGTGATGCAACACGGGCTGGCATAATTAACGAAGCGATTAGATCCGGCGGGCCCCTTGCGGGCAGTCGCCGCGTTAAGTCTCAAGAAAATCGCATGGCATGATGAAAGGAAGATGCGGAATAGATGTGTATATATATATATATGCGTAATCGCATGCTACAAGCGGCCTTCCGCATTCCCTTGGCCTCAAGATGGCCGATGTGAATTGCTTTCCTTGGGGGCACAAACACGCACAAGCGAAACGTGCCCCCAGAGCTAGGCCCACGTCCGTGGCGTGGCCGTTCCTGGAACGTTCCTGGGACACGTGGGCAGTTCCTGGGACACACTATTAACAGTTTGATGCGCCCTCAGGGCAGCAAGAACCTCGTTTTTGTATAGCTCCCACGCACGCCCTGTCTGACATTCTTATGGGACGCATCCAAATACAAGCGGGCAGCGCTTTCATGGTTACGACACTGCGATTTCGGCCCACATCGCATTTCTTGGTCCACGCTCTACTGGAACACGCGAAAATACAAGTAATCTGCGTTCCGAAGGCCACGAGAAGGGTCAATTCTACACACCACTCACGAATCCTCAACCCTACACTATGCTGGGACACGTGAACCTACAAATGATATGCGCTCTCAGGAACCTGGGACACGTAAAACAACTATCCTGGCGAAAGGCCGAATTGTGAACACTGCGGTTGTGAGTACCGTGTTCCGCGGAGCGCCTCGTAGGGCTATACCTACGCCGCGGTGTCGCGACGGCCGGTGAGAAACCGTATTAGAGAGCCGCGGGCGCAACCGCCGAATCGAAAAGCTTCAAGCGAAGGCGCAAATGCACAGATTTCTTGAAAAGTACTGCGTTGCGGGATGAAATGTTCCGCATGCGCTCTTATGCGTTAGTTGACATCGCACTCTGATCTGCACCGCAAGTCGCCTCCAAATTTCTGGCCGAGATACTCGCGGGGCGCCTGGAACGCCATGGCAGACATCGGGCAGCCAGCAAGCTGCAAAACAGGAACTCGTCGACGTCGGGGACAGCAACATCGGAAGTACGACACCGCGCTTTTCTTTTAATGACAGGCCGCAGGCTGACAATTCTTCGAACAGAATGCCCACCATGCGAAGCACCTCTACGGCCAAACGAGCACAAAGTAAAATGTCATCGGCGCACTGCAGGCTGCCCAGCAAACCGACGCCACCGACGTCGAAGCCACACTGCTGAACTCGCACCTCGAACCTCCGAGCTGCGCGCTCTAAGCCGGCGTCGAAGAGCAATGCTGACAAAGCACCCCCATGTTTTACGCCGCAGACAATGTCAGACGCCGCGCGGCCGTCGATGTCCCCCAAGAAAACAAAACTGCATGCGTCCGAAAGAAACAGCGCGTACCCTGCGCGAGCCCCCCGCACCGACAACGCCTGGAGAAGCACGCGGCGCCCCAGCCTGCCGAAGTCTTCCGCAAGGTCCAGACGGGCGATCCACGGGGGGGTGCCCGTCCCAAACTTTCGCGGACGTCCTCCACACCGACAAATGCGTCGTCCTCGAAACGGCCCGGGCGAAATCCCACCCGGCCAATCGTCTGCTATTTTCCCAGGTCAAGCTGCAAGCGCGTAAGAAGCAGGCAAGCAAATCTAGTACATGTGATATGTAAGATCGCACCGGGAATGCCACTGTTTGACATCTTCTTCTGCCGCCCGTCATCGGCAGCACGATAAAACGCGACCCCTGCCAAATTGGATCGACGCGGCCTGCGCCGAGCAACGAAATCATGCGCGCCGGGAAGGGCCAGCGAAGAACATCGCCACCGCGCGCAAGCACGCCAACGGCGACACTGCGTTCATCTGCGCGTTTGCCACGCCCCATGCGTTGAAGCGATTGCCGCAATTCCCTCATGCAAAACGGCGCGATAATTCACGAGCCCCCGCCGAAGCGCGCCACTGCCCACTCGCCCCAGGCAGCGCCGCAGCCCGCGGAGAGAATCTGCCCCAACACTTGGTCCGCCGCGAAGGGAACACGCCCGCCCGAGGTAAATGTTCGACGCCATCAAACGTCAACAACTGTGGAACAGCACGCGCATAGCTACATTGCCGCATGAAATGACGGTGCTCTCTAAAAAAGAGCTTGGACAGTCTAATTTGACGGCGCTGGTGGGCCACGCGCGCCGCGTCGTTTCGGGCGCATCTCTCGCCACTCAGGCGCGCCCCATGGCATCGCACGCGGACGAGAAGCGCCACTCTGGGTCAACGTCTGCCTGGCCGACGCAGCAAGGCGGCCCCCCAGGCCACGGGAGGAGGAGGGAGGGAGAAAGACCGGGTTTCAGACAGAGGTTCCTGCACCATGCTCTCATAAACCCGATCGCGGCCCAGGGCGCCCGAAGACGGACCCGGCCGAACCGCGCCGTGCTGGCGCCCCTCCCGGCGTCGGGAACTGGGGCCTAGACGGGAAATCCCATGAGACGCACGATGGCCGGAACCCACATCTAGAAGAGTCACGAGGGCAGCAAGACTGGCAACGAAAAGAAACATCAAACAACATAATCCGAAACCCGCATGGCACCGAGCGAGCTCCGGAACATCCACGCATCACGCGCACGTTGAAAGTCGACGGCCTCATGGCCATTCAAAACAAAACGCTTGCTGTACTCGCCCTCTTGGGCCGATGTCAAACAGGGCGCGCAGGTCGCCAGCTATGAATAGTTTCTGGCGTCGGTTCCTGGCAAAATCGACCCCCTGCTGCAAAAACGCATAGCAGGCGACTAGATCGTCGAGCGGATATCCCGCGCGCGGTGCACTTGCAAAGAGGAAACTGTGGCAACGCCACGGACCTCGAGATCAACTGCTGGCACCCAGCCATAACGAGAACGAGTACCTGCGGTACCCCCCGCGCGCGGAACACGCAAGCAAACAACCAGCCCAGCCCAATGCATCTGGATAAACCCGATGCGGCTTTAAAGCGATGGCCCCCGTCGACATGTCATCAGATGCTGCGCAAGCCCCGCTAACAAACAACGTCCCAAGCAAGATTCGAAAACCCCCCTCGCCAAAAAAACGAACTTACCAAAATATGAACACGTGCGTTTTTGCAGCAAACGTGAAACATCAAATCGTGACTAAATTTGGTTTCGAGCTCTGGTGAAGCATCTCCTGTGCCACATCGACCAGTGCTGTCCCTAGCTGCGACCGCCGGCAGCTGCAGGAGCAGGCGATCCAACTCGTTCCTGCTGTCTTGCCTCGACGTCGCGCCTGCCGGTTCTGCCGCTGCCCTTGCCCGTGCCGCCGCGCAAAATGTTGCCCGAATGCGTGTTCGCAAGCCCTCGCCATCCGGGTCAACGCCCCCAGCTGTAGTCGCACTTGCTGTCAACGCTCCCGTCGTGGCCCTCACCTCCAACATGGTGTCGTCTCCCATCATCATCATCATCGCGCCCGCTTCTGGGCCTTCCCAGAAAGTCCTCTTCTCGAAACCCTACTCGACGAGTAGCTTTTTTTTTGCGCGGAAGAAAAACGATTTGGGCACTCGGACCTCGAGTGGTTCCTCCACTTCTGACCATACTGCCTTGTCCTCCAGGTAGACACGCGCGGCCCGGAGCTTCGACACTGCAGAGTTTCGATCGGCCGTGGAAGCAAACTTGCCGAAGAGAACGCCCGAGAGCACCCCTTTGGAATAGAACTCGTCTGCGGACGGGGCGCTGCTCCACCAAAGCTGACATTTCAACCTCGTCTCTGCCTCTGCATGGTCGCTGAAACCAAGAAGGTTGCCGAATGAAGCTGTCTCCTGGTCGAAAGCGGTGCCGATGGAGCCGATGGAGCCGGCTGCGCTCCCCAGCCCGGCGATCTCAATCCCCAGCGCCTGGACGTGGTTCAGGAGATGTCCTCGTGATCGGTGAATGGGACGCTGGGGCCCTCCAAGCTCTCCAAGTTGGCGATGCGGATCTCGACACTCTCCATGCGTTCTGCCATCTGCGTGCCGAAGCGATTCTCAAGGCTGGCGACGGCAGCCTGCAGCGGCCAGACCTCTTGCCCGAACAGGTGCGCGATCTCACATAGTGCTGGTGGGCGTACCTCGTGGGGAGTACTGGGTGCCAGCGCGCCCGCGTGGAATGCACTCGGAGGCGTGTCAGGAACCTGTGGCGGCGTGCTGGTGGTGTGCTCGAGCGGGCCATCGTAATTTCGCTAGGGGGGGGCTAAAGAAGCGGCTGCGAACGTCGCGCTGGAGAGGTGCGCCAGCTGGTGTTCTTTGCGCGCGCCCAGCCATCAGAGGGTAAGGGTATGGGAATGGAGCATATGGGTATGAAAAGCATGGGAAGTATAGACACAATTGTAATGCTGGATCAGAAATCCCTTGAAACATCGAAGAGTTGGAAGCCTTTTGGACCGTCCTGAGGCCCCTGGCAGGCCTCTCAGGGCACTGTGGCGACCGCTCGGGCGCCGTCATGGATGACGCTGAAGCCCGACTTGGCGCCAGAAGCCCTCCTGAGGGGGCAGAGGCGAGGATGAGGGGGAGCGAAGAGGGAGAGGGGGGAGGGGGGGGACATCCTGGGAGGGTGGGAGGGTAGTTTGGAGCTTGGATGGGTAGTTGGGAGCTGGGAAGGGACGCGCCCATGACGCCGATCTGCGACCGTACCCACGTCACCGCTGCCGCTGCCGTCATTGTACGCTACGCTTTGGTTGATGCCTGCCGTGAAAAGGGAGGGGGGGGGTATCGGCCTGGAATCGGTGATACCTCGAGTGGCGATGGCCCCCCACAGCGAAACCGCAGAAAAATCCTGGGCAGAGTGAAGTATGAAAACCCATATTGGCGATGCGTGGGCAGTGGGGGGTCAATGGTCCCCCCACTGGTCCAATCCCCCCTCTCGCCCCACCTAAGTAGCCCACTGCCACTGGCACCTCATCTTCCTGCTGCTGCTAAGGTTCCTCCTCATCCTCCTCGTTCTCGTCCTCCGCCTCTTCCTCTTCATATCATCCTCATCCTCATCCTCAGCCTCATCCTAAGCATACCCGGATCCTTCTCATCACATACATGATCATCCTCATACTGAGCCTTTCCCCATTCCTGTTCCTCAACTCCTCCCTGTCGCAGCCCGAGGCCGGTCGGAAGTGCAGGCCAGGCGGTCGCCGAATAAGCCTGAAGCTGAGAAACTGGCAACCGTTTCACAAAGTGAGGGCGGGTGGCTTTGGAAATGCGGCTCTCGCCCTGGCGCCACGCACATTCGCAAGCTGGGGCCTCTGGATCCTGAGATCTCTGAGGGATGGAGGGCTCTGGATGTCTCCAGAAACCCACAGAAGCAAAATACGTGTCACAGTCTTTGATCCTCCAGCCCAGGGCACCGGCTCCTGGGAGCTCATATACAGCTCCAGGCTCGAGCACTGGGACGGCAGCTCGGACAAGGCCTCTCTGGCTGGCGGGCGAAAGAGGAGAAAGGACACGACGCAGGTTCTCCGGAGTGATAGCGCAGCCGTAGTAGGCTGGTACTCGCAGCACGCGTGGCTCGTAGTACCAGCAGCTCTGAAGGATTCTGCCACCCGCCCTGTGGCGTGGATGCTTCGAGGGGTTCTCCGTTTCAGCTCCTTCCTTGCCCACTGGCAGGAGTGTACCCCTCGCCTACCCAAGCAGGGGATACGTCGACCCCTACCCCAGGCTTCGTGAGGTTTTTCGAACGGACCCGACAGTTGGGGCCTGACCCTGGGATACACGATGGGGGGGCGTCCATCCTCGACGTGTGGGCGCCCGAACCGGCGATACGGTCGGACCTAGGACAGAAGAACACCCTACAAGAACATGAGACCCGCCGCCAGCCCAAACGAACGAACCTTCGAGGGCAGCCTCGCCTCCCCCCCAGATGCACAAGAGCATCCGACAAGGACGAAGAACATAGAATTAGGGCACCCTCCCCGAACCGACCTCGATCTCATACCTCGGTCCGGCTGCAGGGCTGGTGGGCACATTTTCCACCACCACTACATACCACTACCATAGGTAAGAGAGGGGGAGGAAGAGGAGGAGGAAGAGGAGGAGGAGCAGGAGGAGGAGAAGGAGGAGCTGGAGGAGAAGCTGGAGGAGGAGGACGACGACGAGGAGGAAGAGGAGGAGGAGGAGGAGGAGCGGAGCAGGAAGAGGAGGAGGAGGAGGAGGACCTCCTCATCCTCCCTTCTCCCCCGTCCTACATATGGCAGCGGTAGTGGAAGATTTGCCCATCAAGGGGGCGCTCAACCCTGCCATGCCCCACGTCGCAACAAAGCCACCCCCCCCCCACGTGCCCGCGGGCCGGCAGTGACTGGCAGCCTGGCGGGGTGGCCGCCCCCGGCCCGGTCACGAAGAGAGGGCCGTGGCCGTGATAGACATACCGGGGTCGGAGGGGGAGGTGGAGGGGGACAAGCTAGGTGCGTTCGCGTCATCTCTGTCGTCATACCCCTCCCTCCCAGCCTTCACCATGGCGCAGGTCTCCTCTTCATGCGCACAGACTGGTGTCGAGCAAAAGGCAATGATCCCGAGAGGGTTTGAGATGTATGGTAAAGCACGGCATGACATCGCGTAAGGAGCGCGGCGGAGCAGAGCATGTCATAGCATGTTTTGGCCTTGCGTAGTGTAGCATTGCATCACAAAACGTAACATAGCAAAGCATGGTATCGCACAGCGAAGCACAACGCAACATCGCATTGCATGCCATGGCATGGCACCAGATGCCTTGGAGGGTAAAGGCCCGTGTACGAAAGGAGAAAATCTGTCTGGAATCCCGGCTTCATGCCCTGCGCAACCGTGCCTGCCCGGTGTGGGCAGTTTCGAATACCAAGTGCCGTCTGGTAGGGGTACTGTAAGAGCGTAAGGGCCCGCACCTTCCTTTCGACACGCTGCCTTGCGTTCCCCGAGCCCCCTTCCAAGTCTCGCTAGGCTCCCCGGACAGCCCTGCACGAGGCGTGGGGGATGGCCCGAAGACTTCGGGAAGCTCCAAGGAACGCAGAGAAATTGCCGACGGCGACAACGACGCAGACGACGACGGCGGCGGCGGCGGGGGAAGATGCGGCGGGCGAGGACGGATGTCAGGGAATAGTACGGCGGGCTGCCAGGCTCGATGGTCTGGCTCCCTTGAACAGTCGGGTCACACTGGGCCCCTGCACCCCTCACGGGGTCAAATCGGATCGGCGCCTTCCAGCCGGATCGTTTGTTCAGATCCCTGGGGCCCGGCGAAGGGAAAAGGGGGCTTCTGCGGCCCCAATGGTTTTTGTTCGGGGGCAATGTTTTACATGTTGGGGCCTATTTCCTATTTGGAAGAAACGAAAACCATGCCGTGGCATGATGCTGGAAATAATGACGCCAGCGCGGCAGTGGGAGCACGAAATGGCGTGGCGAAGACCATGGCGTGGAGAAGCCCCCAAATGGGGGGGGGGCTTCTGCGGTCCAACAGATCAACGAATCGACACCGAATGCGGAATCACTTGCACTAGTTTTTTGGGATCAATGTTCTAGATGTTGGGGCCTATTTGAAGGACCGAAAACTATGCCGTGGCATGGCGCTGAAAATAATAGCGCCAGCGCTGCAGCGGGAGCGCGATTCGGAACGAGCGGAAGCGCGGAAATGAGGCCAGCGCTGCAGCGGGAGCACGATTCGGAACGATGGGTGACCCGAAAATGAAGCCAGCGCTTCAGGGAGAGTAGCATTTTGAAAAGAACAAAAACAAGCGAAAACCCGTTTTCAGGGAATCCTGTGTAAAACACAATACGCGGCGACGGGGGGGCGAACACTTCCCAGACGTGACCAGGGGAGAGAGGAGAGTAGTATGCATGTTCAGAAATTGTGGAGGAGGAGGAGGAGGAGGAGGAGGGAGCGGACCCTAAGAGGACCCCAAGAGAGCCACAAGAGGGGCCGAAGTGGACCCCACCCCTATCGGGACTTGGACAAGGCCACCAAAGAAAAGAGTCATTGGTGCTCAACCGGCCCACAAACAGCCGCAAGGGGACTCCCAAAGCTTGAAAAATCCCCACGAGAGCCCCAAAGGTGCCCCAATAGAGCCCCGAGAGAGCTCCGCTCCAGGGCCATCCCAGAAGGGCGTCCAAAGAGCTCCGAAAGTCCTGCCTCTCCTTGTCTCTCTGTCGTACGGCAGCGTGTCCGCTGCATCTTCCGACCAGCCCCTACGACATCCCTGACCCTTCCGTCCCTCACCATTTCGGCACAGTTCTGCGTGCCTCAAACTCCAGGCTCGACCTAAACGGTGTCTTAGGGATCTCGTGGACCACTTTCGCTCTGATCTCGTCTTGCAGCATGGGCGGGAAGAAGACAGAACGACGGGGAGAGCGACAACGAAACGAAAACGGAAAGCACTGTTTAGGCCGAGTCCTGTCAAATCCTCCTCCTCCTCCTCCTCATCATCATCCTCCTGCTCCTGCTCCTGGTCTTCCTCCTGCTCATCCTCCTCCTCTCCGATGCCGTCTTGGGCCTCTCTGTGCGCCGTACTGGGGCCGTCTTTGGGCTGTCTTGGGGCCGTCTCAGTGCTTTATCGGGCCGTCTTGCGGCGAGCTTGGAGGCGTGGACCGAAATCATGCAATGACCCATGGTAAAGCAATGGCTGCTGCCTCTTGCGGGCCTCTTCGGAGTCCGCTCAGGGCCGTCTCGGGGCGTCGTGCCAGACTTCGGGGGGGAGGGGAAGGGGCGTCTTGGAGCACTCTTGGGGCGTATTGGGGCATTCTCGAATTTCTGCTTTCATTCAAGATCGTCTACTGGTTGGCATGAGGCCCGACTCAGGTTCTACCAATACCAGGATTTCTTTAACACTGATAATTTTGATGAACGAGAATGCGCGCATAGCACTTGTTGCAGAGGGTGAGGGGGAGGGTGCCCGTTTGGCTGGGATCATACGAGTTCATATTTAGGATGGACGATGGGGCAGAATCATATGTAAATTGCACATCCCCAGGGGGGAACCGACACTCTACGTTTGCACTATATATGTTGTGCGCTCGATGTGGTGCAACCTATGTTGTGCAGTCAATGTGGTGCAGTCGACGCGGTACAATATATGGTGCGCAAGCTATGTAGCATGATCTACGACGGCGGCCACACAGCGGCCAGACCGAAGACTCGACCCAGAGAACGGGCGGCGACGAGGCGGCGACGGGGCGGCAACGGCGGCCACATAGCCGCCAGACCGAAGACACGGCCCAATTCCTTAGAACAGAAGTTAGAACCCCTAAGTACAAACACTGCTCTGGGAATCATCCAATTCGCCCCAAACATGATACCGCCGAAAGTAAATGCGCCTGATTTGATCGCCCTGTATGAACTAATACAATTCGTATTCGCCTGATTTCTACCCATCCAATTTCGATTCGCCCGGTTCAAATTCATCACGTTGTCAACCGCCCGGCTTAAATTCATTATGTTATGATTCGCCGGGTCATCATTCGTCGGGTTTGAATTCGCTTGGTTTGCATTCATCCAGTGTTAATGCGCCCGAGTTAAATTCATCAAGTTTCATCCGCATGATTAAAATCCATCCAGTCTCGATTCGGCTGGTTTTTTTATTCGCCCGATTGAAATTCGCCCAGTTCTAACTCGCCCTATCTGCATTGCACAAAAGTAGCCGCGAAAACGCGCAAAGCGAAAGCAAGCGAAACCACAGGCGGACGAAACACAAGCAAACGAAACCAAAGGCGGGCGAAAGCAAAAAGCAGTTGAAGCAAAAACGGACGAAACAAAAGGCGGATGAAAAGAAAGGCGGGCGAAACAAAAGCGAGCGAAACAACAAAAACGTGCGAAGCAATAGCGGACAAAAAAGCGGACAAAAACAAGCGGACGTGACAGGAGCGGATGAAACAAAGCGGGCGAAACAAAACTCCTCCGTCTTGAAACCCTGCCTCGAGACTCTCACTCCTCCCCCTCACCCTCCTTCTCCCCCTCCTCCTCCTCCTCCTCCTCCTCCTCCTCCTCCTCCTCCTCCTCATCCTGCTCCCGAAAACCCTGAATCACTGTGACAGACGCCACCATTCTCGAGGACAAAAAAAAATACTGTACCTCTCCGGAGGGGGGCATTGCGACAATGAGTTCAAGGCGAACGAGGCATGTGCGTAGTGCGCAGACGAGGGGGGTCCAGGGGATGTGTTGAGAGAAGAAGAGGGGGGCATGAGATCGGAGAAATGGCATGGCCAGGGTCATGACGTCGTCTCCCCAGTCTTCGCAGCCCTCTTCCACGTCCCTGGATCCTCCTCGAGGCCCAACCCTGGACAGAGGCATGTGTTATAGCCGCCGTCTGGGCCTCGAGACTCCTGCTCCTCCTCCAGTTCCTCCTCCTGCTCCAGGTCCTCCTCCTCCTCCTCCTCCTCCTCCTCCTCGTCCTCCTCCTGCTACTCCTCCTCCTCCTCCTCCTCCTCCTCCTCCTCCTCCTCCTCCTCCCGAATCGTCCCAAACACTGCGGGGCAGGGCAGTCCCCTCGAGACGCAGCCCTCCCCAGGGAGGCCAAACAAACGATACCCCATGGACATCTCCTGGGGTGCGTTCCGAACATGATTTCGAGGCGAATCTGGCCATGGCAACGAGGAACGGATAGAAGCACCAGTTCCTGTTCCTCCTCCTCCTCCTCCTCGTCCTCGTCCTCGTCCTCCTTCTCGTCCTGATCCTCATCCTCCTCCTCCTTCTCATCCTCCTTCTTCTTCTTCTTCTCCTCCTCCTCCTCATCCTCCTCCTCCTCCTCCTCCTCCTCCTCCTCCTCCTCCTCCTCCTCGTCCCCTTCGAAGACTCACCGTGGGCAAAGGCCTGGGTGATGGCCTTCGTCTGGGCCTCGAAGGCCTTCTGCTTGGCCGCGTGCTGGGGCCGCGCGCGCGGCCGCGCGGAGGAGAGAGGGCCACTGGCAGCCAGCGCACGCACGCCCAGCCCGGCACGCTCCTCAGCCTCACCCCTCGCCTTCCCAGCGCCCTTCGCTCTCTCCTTGACCTCCCCCACCGTCCTCCCTTCGCCCTCGCCCTCCGCTGGCCCCCGGTCCACCCCCCCACCCCCCTGTCGCTGCTGGCCCTCGGCCCTCCCTCGCCGACGCCCTGGACCCTCGCCCACCCCTCCCACATCAGATCATCGGAGGACGACGACGAAAAGAAGGACGGGGAGGAGGAGGAAGAGAAGGAGGACGAGGAGGAGGAGGGAAAGGAGGAGGAAGAGGCAGGCGCGGATGCACGTCGGATTGGCCCCCCGCCTTCGCCCCCACCCTCGCCCCTCTGCCCTGACCCCCTCGCCCTGGGGCGCGAAATAAGGGGGGAGCCACAAGGGGGGGAGGGAAGAAAGGTGCCCTCTCCGGGCCCTAGAAGCCCCCCTCTGGGGCCACATAAGGCTCCTTTTCAGCGGCCCTCGCTGCCCCCCCCATTCGTCGCCCCCTCATTAAGCGTCCTCCGACGCCCTCTGGGCGAACCGGGTCCCGGATGCGGGCGGGGAGGGTAGGCCTCGAACTGCATGTGCGTGAGCGGGTGGAAGTTTCCGCACAAGAACCTCGGCGCCGCCGTAAGCAATAGTTGCATAGCAAACGGCATGTGATATGCAGTGTCATCACCGTAACCGTCATCATCCTCCTCCTCATCATCATCATCGTCGTCATCATCCTCATAATGGTCATCAACAACAACCTCATCAGCGACAGTATCAACATCCTCGTCAACATCATCAGCGTCATCAGCAGCATCAGCATCATCATCATCATCATCAGCATCATCATCATCAGCAGCACCATCATCATCATAATCATCAGCATCATCATCATCAGCATCATCATCATCATCAGCAGCACCAACATCATCAGCATCATCATCAGCTTCAGCATCAGCAGCAGCAGCATGATCATCATCATCAGCAGCAGCATCATCATCAGCAGCATCAGCATCATCATCATCATAATCATCATCTTCAGCATAATCATCATCAGCAGCAGCATGATCATCATCATCAGCAGCATCATCATCAGCAGCATCAGCATCATCATCACAATCGTCATCATCATCATAATCATCATCATCATCAGTATCATCCTCATCATCATTACCATTACCATAATCATCATCAGCAGCATCAACATCATCCTCATCCTCATCCTCATCAGCAGCCGCATCATCATCGTCATCGTCATCGTCATCATAAGCATCACCATCATCATCAGCAGCAGTATCATTATTATCATCAGCATCATCATTTTAGCATCAGCATCAGCATCAGCATCAGCATCAGCATCAGCATCATAATTGGCATCAGCATAAGCATCGTTATCATCGCCCCCATCAGAACCACCATCATCACCATCATCATCAGCATGATCAGCACGATCATCATCGTCATCGGCATCGTCGCCATCGCCAGTACCACCGGCAACACAACATCGGTTCAGGATCCGCCGCATGACCAGTACCACCGGCACCAGCATCGCCAGTACCGGCATCGCCAGCACCAAGGACACCAGCACCAAATCGCCATCGCATGTACCACCGGCACCACCACACCGGTCATATGTCGACAGATTCACCCTATTAGTAGTATCATCATCATCATCATCATCATCATCATCATCATCATCATCATCATCATCATCATCATCATCACCATCGTCGTCGTCGTCGTCATCATCGAAATCAGCATCCTCAGCATCGTCATCATAAAAGGGAGTATCACAATCTGCATCTAAACAGCTTCCTCATCATCATCATAATCATCATCATCATCATCATCATCATCATCATCATCAGCATCATCATCATCGTCGTCATCATCATCACCCTCATCATCCTCATCATCAGCATCATCAACAGAAACATCAACATCATCAGGACCATTACGATCAGCACCGCAATTATCATCGACGCACTCACCATCGTTATCAACACGTCATCAGACTAAACATTGTCATCAGCGAAACAATCATCAACAACCCCCATCACCATCAACATCAGCATCGTCATCATCATCATCGGGACTGTCGCCATCGCCGCTGTGGCCGTCAACATCGAATTGCTCATACACAACGTAGCCACCATCGAAATTGCTACATGAGACTGTTGTTCGGGCACATCAACAACATCAACATCAACCGCAGCCTCGGCACTGGCTTGTACATGAACACCAGAATAACAAACATGTGCATCGCAGGCATACAGCCGTCATGCATGCTCATCCCATGCTCGCCATCACCATACGCATCGCACTCATCATCCTCACCCATCAGTGTCGCACGCATGATCATGATAGTCGCTCTACTCGTCCACCATCCTTGCTCTCGTCCTGGATCCTCCTCCGCCACATCCCCGTCAGAGTGAACACCCTCATCTAAGTCAACATCATCGAAAACCACACTCCACACTGCCACTCGTGCTCCCCACAACCCGTTGTAACGTCGAGGCCTCGTCGCCGCCCACATCACAACATCCACACCATCACCCCGTATCGTGAGCAATCATCATCATCCCCAGTCCTTCATATCGCATTCATCATCGCCATGAACATCACCACCACCATCATCAATAGCAGCGTCAACATCCGCGTCATCAGCATCATCGACACCATCGCCATGATAATCAGCAGAGCCATCTGGTCTAACTATCTGTAGTCGAGTTCTTCATCTCCCTATCCATCTCATCCCACTGCCCCACAGATTCATCCTCTCACCCCCACCCCATCGTTCTCAAATGTCTTGACGTGGTGTGATTGTATCTACCCATACATGATCTTCCTCTCCCATCTGCCTGCTCGCCCGTCCTCGTCCTCCATTACCATCCTCCTTCGTCCTCCGTCCTCCTTGTCCTCACCACCACCACCACCATCATCACAATCCTTACCATCACCACAATCATCATAATCATCATCATCATCATCAACACCATCATCATCATCATCATCCTCATCATCATCATCACCACCATCAGCGGCAGCAGCGTTGGCATCAGCATCAGCATCGGCAAGAGCAGCAACAGCATCATCACCACGACCATATCAACAGCAGCATCAGCATCTGCACCATCATCGGCAGTACCAACGGCAGCATCAGCATCACAGGCATCACCACCACAGGCAGCAGCAACGCCATCTCCCTCCCTCCCTCCCTCCCACACCCACTTCCCTCCCCCCCACCCTCACTCCTCCACTCCCCCGTGCGACCGCCCACGCCTAAAATGAGGTGAGGGGGGGGGCAAACGCCCACCACCATCCTACACCCATGCTCCCTCCGCCCCCGCGCATCGGCTCCCTTGCTGCCCCTCGCCCTCCAGGCGCCGCCCCCGCCCCGCCCCGCGCCACCGGAGGTGGCTCGGCAGGGGCTCCAGGAAGGAGTGGAAAAACTCGGAGTCCTGCGGGCGCGCCCGGCTCCCCCCCCACCCCCCCTTGCGGCGCGGCGACGCCGCAGGGGCAGCGTGCTTACACACGGCCGCAGCACCCGAAATGGAGCCGGAAGGGGGCGAGAGAGGGGCGGGGCGGGAGGGACGGGGAGAGAAGACGGGGGGAGAAGCCAGGGACGGGGAGAAAAGAGGGCGGGAGGGGCGGGGGCGGGAGCGGCGGGAGAGCACGGGGGCAGGAGAGGCAGGAGGGAGCGGAGCAGGGAGGGGGAGGGGCCCCACAAAAAACGGCCCTCCTCCAGAGCCTCGCCCGCGAGCCCCGCGAGCGCGCTGTCGTGCACGGCGCAGCGAGCGGCGGGAGGCGCCGGGCGACGGGGCGAGAGGGCAAGGAGGGAACTGAGGACGAGCCTCGAATCATGCCATTCAGCCCGCGACATCTTCGTCCGCTTCATCATCGTCGCCATCGTCATCACCGCTATCATCGCCACCAGCATCTTCCTCATGATGGCCATCACGATCAGCATCAGCATCAGCGGAGGAGGGGGGGTGGAACAGGGCAGGGACCTGAGGCATCCCTCGCGCGCGGCACAAAAGTTCCGCGGAGGCTCGCGGTTAGAATTCAAATCTGAATTCTTACCTCTCCGAACCTCCAACTGAGAATTCGTATGTGAGTTAGAACCTCCTCGAAGCACCAATTTAGAAGTCAGATTTGACTCCGAACCTCCAAGCTAGACCTCAAAACTGAATCATCCCCTGGCGGTTCGAGGCGGTTAGATCTAACATTTGGCCCCTGACCTCCTCGAGCATCCAAGGTATCACCCAAAGTTGTGTCCTAACCTAGTCGGACCTCCAAGTAAGAACTCAACTGTGAATGTGACCCCCCCCCCTGGGCCTCCAAGTTAGAACCCAAACACGTGTTCTAACTTGGAGGTTCAAAGCGGCTCTCACTCACATTTGAGTTGTAATCTCCTCGAACCTCTAAGCTGAAACTCGAATTTGAATTGGACCCAGCTGAAGCCCCCGAATTCGAATCCAACGTCGAGCATGAACTGGGAGGTGCGAAGCGGTTAGAACTCACATCGCGCTCTGGCCTCATCGAACCTCCACGTTAGAATTCAAAGGTGACTGCGAACCTCCTCGTACCTCCAAGATCAAACTTTTCAAATATAGAACTCAACTTAGGGTGCGAACCTTCTTGCACGTTCAAATTGGAACTCAAGTTCGAGCTAGGAGGCCCAAGGCGGGAATAATTCACATTTGAATTCTTACCTCCTCGAACCACCCAATCAGAACTCAAACGTGAGCGCCAACCGCCTAGACCCCCAAAGTTAGCACTCGCATGTGAGGTCTGACTTGAAGGCTCGAGGCAGTTTGAACTCCTTGTGTTCTAGACTCCTGAAATCTCCCATTCAGAAGAAAACGCTGGGCTCTGACCGTCTTCAACCTCCAAATTAGAACTAACATATGAGCTCTAACCGCCGCAACCCCCGAAAGTTAGAACTGACTTGCGGCTTCTAACTTGGAGGCCTGGGGCGTTCAGAGCCCACATTGAGAGCCCAACCTCCTCGAACCCCGAGTCAGAGCTCAAGCGCGAGCTCCAACCGCCTCGAGCCCCAGACGCGGCAACCGGCCTGCAGCCTTAACCCGGAGGCCCGAGGCGGTTGGAACTCCCACTCGAAGCCTAAGCTTCTCGGACCCCCAGATCTGACTACCTACCAGACCACCCCAACCCAACCCGAAGACCCGAATTTCGGGCTGGGGGGGGCAAGTTCCCGACCCCCCCCCACCCCCACTGGAAATCGAGAGTAAATCTGAGCCTTCGGGTTGGGTTGGGGTGGTTTGGTGGGCGGTGAAGATCAGAATTCGAATGCTTGATCTTCGGGGCTGGACAGACCCCCCCCCCTTTAGTAAAACGTGGTTTAGTGAAAACGACCTGAGGCCCAAACCTGGCGGGCGCAAACCTGGAAAATAACGGCCATGGCGCCCTCTAGAGAGCCGAAAACGGACAATTCACTAATCGACGTGTCACTGTTGGGGGTTCTGTCCACCCCCGAGATCTCTGGCGGGGAGGCCCGAAGCAGTGAGAACCCACGCGCGGGCCCCAACCTCCTCGGGCCTCCAGGGTAGGAAACCAAAAGACGACGTCGACCGCCTGGAGCCCTCAAAAAGCTCGAGCCCAAATGCGGGCCACGACCGCCTCGAACCTCCCGGTTAGAACTCCAATTTTGGGTCATGGCGTGGAGGCCCGCGGCGGATAGAGCTCACGCGCGAGGCATAACCTCCTCGAGACCACGGGAAAGGGCTCTCAGGGCTGAGTTCTGCCCGACCCGGATCTCCGAGTCAGAACTCAAGTAAGAACTTCTGGCTTGGAGGGCGCAGGCGGTAGGACCCCACGAATTCTACAACATCGAGCCTCCGAGTGAAACCTCAAACTTGACATCCAACAAGTCCGATCCTCCAAAATAGAGCTGCAAGTTGAATTCGAACCGCCGCGAACCTCCAACCTCGAGCTCAGATGCGGGTTCTAATGGAGGCTCGAGGAAGTCCGAAGTCACACTTGACTTGCAACGCCCTCGAGCCTCAAAACTTAGAACTCGAAGTCGACTTCTAGCCGCCACGAACCTCAAATTCAGACCTAAGTTTCGAAATCTAACCGCCTCAAACCTGCATGCTAGAACTCAGACGCGAAATCGAACCGCCTCGAACCCATAACTTGGAAATCAATTTGGAGTTCCAGCGCGAAGGCTCGAGAACCGCGGTGGCAGAGGGCACGGCGCTGCGGGCGCGACGCCGCGCCGAGGAAGAATGAAGGTCCACCGGACTGAACTGCGGCACGCGGGAAGCTGGGGACCTGGGAGATTACCCCTGTCGCGACCTGCACCTGGCCTTGTCTGCAGAACAAGCCGGGTGGATGAAAAACTGGCGCACCCACTGAGCTCGACGGTTCCACTGCCAGCGTTTCGCCCTCGCCGGGCAGGGCGCCCTCCATGGCCTCGCGCCCCTCCAGCTCGGCATCCCGCGGCGCGCACCTCGTCGCGACAGCTTAAGGCGGCTCCGCTCCAGGGCCTGCCTCGGCAGTATTGCGCGCGCTGGCCCTCCGGAGGGCGCTCCTCAGGAGCTGCCGGACGGGCCTGCGCGCCGCTGCCTCCAGCTGCTCAGCGGCCACCGAGACCTTGCCGCCAGGGAGCCCAGCCTTCTCGATCGCTCCCCCCTTCGCCTCTGTGCCCAGGCACGCCCAAGCTGCGGCTGGAGCTGGGGCAGCTCCAGGCGGCGACCCCGTCGGCGGCGGCGTCGCTGGCACCGCCAGCGGAGGCGGCTGCGCCTCGGGCAACGCCCCGCGCGGCAGCGGCGCCATCTTGGCCAAAGCCGGCTTGGATGACGGTCACGTTGGTGGCGAGTTGGCCGATTCTTGCCTGCGGCGAGGACTGATCGGCTTGAGGTTGCGCCAGTACTTGAGGCGCGCTGGCTGATGTGCCCGAGAAAGGCGACTGGGCAACCGTCACGTCGCGCCGAGAGGCGTGACCGAACTCTCTTCGCTGCCTGACACGATATCCGCGAACGCGACAGCTTTGGCCTGCATCTTCTTGGCCGGCCCTTCGTCTTGCTCCAACTCTTCGATCGTGGCGAGCGTCGTCTGCGCCTGAGCCAAGTCCGTGGCGATGGTTTGTCGTTGCCCCTGGGCAACACTGAGCGTCTGCTCTGCTGCCCTCTCCGTTTCCTGCGGCTCCTCGAGACGCTTCATAGACATGCTATATGGCGTCGAACGAGTAGAGATACATGAACTTAAAGACTCTGTGCTCGCTCGCCACGCCTGCCATCTAGGCCGGGCTGACACCAAGCGCACCATGAATTACCAATGTCTTTTTCACGGCGTGCAGCGTGCTGCTCGCGAGCAGCGGGTCCGAGGGTGGTTCGGCCCACAGCTTGAGCTTCATGGTGTCCGCGTAAGTAGCCACCGTATACGTCGACGTCTTGGACAGCGAAGGAAAGTGGTCTTCAGCAAAGCAGCGGTACCTGTAGCCGGCTCAGAGGCCTCGCGTCTGAGGGAGCACGGGAGACTGACCGATCTCGACCGACGTCGACGTGGCGGCTTGGCGGGGAAGCATTTGGTGCACCAGCCCGGGGACGCTTCCTGCTTGGAACCATACCGCGAGCAATACCGGGGACCTCGCCATGGAGCTGGAGCCATGCTGCTGTCGCGGCTGCCGAACCAATCGCCTTGCGGCGGCGATTCTCAATAACGTCTGTGTTGCTGTCCTCTTTTCCCCTGGCACGTCGGTGCCAAACGGGTTCTCAACGATGGCGAATGCGGGGCGCCTTGGGACCACGTCCTGCCCGCGACCTAATGGCGGCGGCGCGGGGCGGCGCGCGGGACTGCCTGTCCCGTGCGAGGCCCGCTGCTACGCTGGCAGCAGCACCAAAAAAATTCGAACCGGGGCAGCAGCTCTCGGAGGGGTCCCAGGTCAGGAGGGGGAGCAGGACGACGACGACGACGACGACGACGACGACGCCGACGACGACGACGACGACGACGACGACGACGACGACGACGACTGCGACGATCATGGGCACGCCAAGTGACCACCTCACTCGTCCTGGCCGAGCCCATCCTTCGCCCGGGATCTGTGTTTACACCCTCCGGACCCTCTCAGGGCAGGGATCGGCTACACGCAAGAGTGACCCTGGGTAAGAGTGACCTTTGGTGCGCGGCTTTGGGGGGGCCGCGGGGGGACCAAACTCAGGCGCGCAAGACGCTACTATCGCATCGCAATTGGTGATCGGGGGACCCCATTGTGCCCGCACCAAAGGTCACTCCGGCGAAAGGTCACTCTTACGTGTAGCCGAAGGGAGGCGCAAAAGCCCACACCCTGGGCCCCGGGACGGGCCTGGCCAGGCTTGGCGAAATCATCGGCAGAGATCCCCCGAGACGACGACGACGACCACGACGACGACGACGACGACGACGACGACGAGGACGACGACAGACGACGACGATGACGAGGACGACGACGACGAGGACGAGGACGACGACGACGAGGACGACGACGACCGAGAGCTGAGGAGGGCGGGCGAGGCGAGGACGACGATGACCACCACCACCACCACCACGACGACGACGACGGCGACAGCGGCGGCGGCGGCGGCGGCGACGACGACGACGACGACGACCTCCGCGCAAGCGGGGCGGGGCAGATGCTCCAGGCACAGCGGGAAGTTCTGCAGGCACTCCTGGAGGAGCAAGGAACTGCATAAACATATTAACTGCTCGGAGGTCCGCGCAGATCTCTTGGCTCTGCGCCGACCCCTCTCCGCTCGGGTGTCGCTGGAAGTGCCCCCTGGCCGGAGGTGTCCCCCCAGGACTCTCGGGGTGGCCCGGACGGCCTCCAGAGCACCCCTCGCGAGGTCAAGGGGGGCCCAGGGGCTCCAAAGTGCAGCGAAAAGCTACAGGGCAGTTTATGATACATGGGATTTTGAATAGATTTGTGCATGAACTCATCGTTGCTTTTACTAAATTATCCCTGCATTCTTAATACATGATCCGCACGCGGAGCATGCATTAGAAACTGCACTGTAGGGGCACATTGGGCCAGGGGCACCTTTAGTAATCCCCGATCCGTGGCGCGCGGGGCGCGCCGGTGGCGGCGCCGGAGGCGCCCTCGGGGGGTTCTGCTGCAGATCCAAGGGAATCCACGCGGACCGTCGAAAGTGGATGTGCAGTATGTTCTCCTTCGAGCTCCCTGCCATCGCTCGGACGTCCACTCCCCGTGCATGCTTCGGTCTCGTGTGCTTGTGCTTTTTCCCGCAGAATGATCCAAGATGCTCCCCGATGGTCCCTGACGAGGACAATGCACATGTCCGAGCGATGCCAAGATTCGGCGGCGTGCGAGGAGGGGAAACGAGAAGGAGAAGGCCTTCTCAGAAGGCGGCGGGACTTCTCAGAGGCCCTCCGGCCTTCTGAGATGTCTTCTGTCTTCGGGCCTCTAAGAAGTCCCGCCGCCTTCTGAGAAGGCTTAGAAACCTTCTCAAAAGGCCAGGGGATTTCCGACCCTTTTCAGAAGGCCTTGAGGCCTCCTTCTCACTTCACCCTAGGGCTCGCCGCCGAAAGTAGAAGAAGAGAAAACGCCATAAATATCATATGTTGGCGCTCGGCGCGGAGTTCTTGAACCTGCCCTGGACCCCCTCCCTGGCGCGCGGAGCGCGCCAGACGCGGCGCCGGAGGCGCCGCCCGGGAAAGCCCAGCGCGGATCCAAGAAATCCGCGCGGAGCGCCAAAAGTGTATGTTCATGCGCTTGTTGGTAATAATACTACTACTACTACTACTACTACTAATAATAATAATAATGCTAAAGGTAGTAGTAATAATAATAATAATAACAATAATAATAATAACATAAATATGGGTATTATTCTTGTTATTATGAATATGATTGATATTACTATTATTATTGTTCTTATGATTAATATTACTATTATTGTTATTACTATTCGACGAAAGGCTCCGTGATGACGTGGATCATGTTGTCGATGAACGGCTTGGCGGATATCGCCTGCCGTACCGCCGGGCCGCGCCGAGCGGGGCGCGCCGCCGGGGAGGCCGCGCGGCGACGGCAGGGGGCGGCCACCACCACGGCCACGACCACCACCACGACCAATACCTCCTCCTCCTCCTCCTCCTGCTGCTGCTGCTGCTGCTGCTGCTGCTCCTCCTCTTCCTCCTCCTCCTCCTCCCTCCTCCTCCTCCTCCTCCTCCTCCTCCTCCTCCTCCTCCTCCTCCTCCTCCTCCTCCACGTCCTCCTCCTCCGTCTCCTCCTCCGCCTCCTCCTCCTCCTCCTCCTCCTTCTCCTCCTCCTCCTCCTCCGCCTACAGGGAGGTTGTTTTATTACATGGGATTTGTATTACATGGGATGTTTGTTATACATCGTCGTAGACTACGAGAAATTGCATCTCCGGGCGCGCGCGCACGGGAATACATGGGAATAGTAATACAAGCTCGCAGACTAGGCAAAATGATCCTCTCCGCGCGCGCGCAAGTCATGTATTCAAAATCTCCCTGTACTCCTACTCCTCCTCCTCCTCCTCCTCCTCCTCCTCCTCCTCCTCCTCCTCCTCCTCCTCCTCCGCCTCCTCCTCCTCTTCCTCCTCCTCCTTCCCACGATGATAGCAATTCCCACCAGCCTTCTGGGCTGAGTGGTTTAACGAGTTGTTCTCAGTTCCCTGCCACAACCCCTCCTTCCCCTGCTCGGGGGAGCGCCCAAGATGGCCCAAATCGGCTCCAAGCGGGCCCTCGGCAGCCCAAGACAGCCTACAAGATTGCTCAAGATACCTCTCAACATCGCTCAAGATAGCCCCCGACATGCCTCCAAGACGGCCCAAGGCAGCCTCAAGACGGTTCCTAGTGCCACTCCAGCCTCCCAAGGCACATCCCACGAGGCCAACATCCTTCAAACACCTTAGGATGATCAATGTCTGTTGGCTTCTCGCGTGTGCGCTTCCGATGGACCCGTTGGGCCTCAAGATGGCCCCAAGATTGACCACAGCCCCAAGATGGGCCCAAGACGGCCCCAAAGCGGCCCCAAGAGCGCCCAAGAGGCGCCCAAGAGCGGCCCAAGAGGCCCCCAGGAGACCATCTTGGAGCCACCGAGGGGGTGACCTCGATTGAATCCCCCCACTCTTTGATCGATCTCCTCCAAGATGGCCCCAGGAGAGCCCAGGGGCGCCCAGCACCACCAGGGAGGCGCCCAGCATCACCAGCGATGTCCTCAAGAGGCCCCCAAGAGGCCCCCGCGAGAAACCGAAAAAGGCTCCAAGAGGCTCCTCCGAGGCACCAAAGACGCTCCAAGAGGCCCCAAGGACCACCAAGGCTCTCCTCCTCCTCCTCTTCCTCAACCTCCTCCTCCTCCTCCTCCTCCTCCCCCTCCTCTTCCTCCTCAACCTCCTGCTCCTGCTCCCCCTCGTGGCGGCGCGCCCAAGGGGGTAGGGCGCGCATTAGAAGGACGGGTGGTGAAGACGCAAGACCCTTGGAGGCCGAAGCAAGGATGTTGGGGGGCGGCGGGCGGCCTGTGAGAACGGAAAAGAACGGGCCGCAGAGGCAAGGACACAAGGGCGCCCTGGATGAAGGCGCGCGTCTTTACTGGGCGCGTGGACTGTAGGGAGGGGAGGAGAAAGGTACTCAGGAGGAGACTGCTTCTTGGAGGGCGCCGCCCCCCCCCCCCCCATCTATAGATCAGGCCCCCGCCTTCCAAGAGGCAGCCCTCTTCTGAGAAGCCTTCCCCCCTCCCCGAGCCCCCTCTGCGCGTGGACGACTTCTGCGCCCCGTCTCCAAGTCACCTTGCTTCGCGCATCGCGCCCCGCGACGCGCGACGCGCCTGCAGCTTCGCACCCGCGAGAGGCCAGGCCGGAGCCGCGTCATGAGCTCTCCCGCCGTGGCGCGAGGTGCGGATAGTTTCGCGCGCTTGGAGCGGCCTAGCCCTCTAGTCCTTGGAGGAAGGCGAGTCAGGATGAGGACAAGTACCCTTCCATCCTCCCCCCTTCTTCCTCGTCGGTGGCTACCTGCCAGACCACCCCAGCCCAACCCGAAGACCCGGGGTTGGGGGGGGTACGGATTCCATATGTGTTTTTGCAGTGTTCCCCGAAGCCCCCCCAACTGGAAATGGAGGGCAAATCGAAGCCTTCGGGTTGGGTTGTGGTGGTTTGGTGGGCGGTGAGTCGGGCGGAGTCGGGGAGGGGCAACCCCTCCCCTTACTCCCTCCCGCTGGGTCCGGGCAGAAGGGGCCACGGGCAGCCACAGCGTCCAAGAGGACTCCAGCGAGAAGGCACAGACCATTCATCATCCTCGGGTGGGGGAGCAGTTGTGGCCTCCCGGTGGGGGGGGCAATGCTGCTAGGGGGAACTTCTTTGATCGATGGCCTCTCTCCCTCCTCCCTCCTCCCTCCTCCCTCTTCCCCTCCTCCCCTCTCCCTCCTCCCTCCTCCTTACCACAGACGTTGACTGCAGTCCTCGAATCCCCCTTCAAGCCTCAGCGGCCGCATCATCGGCATCGGCGGCGACGGAGAATAGGCGGCGGCGGCGGCGCTGAGAGAGGAGGGCGGAGGCCCCGTCCATGGCGTCCGCGTCCTGCGACACGAGGATGCCGAGCTCCACCTGTCCGGGCACGGCGAAGAGCCACAACCACGGCTACTTGTTTTTCTGGGAGGGCCCCTCGGGGGAGAACCGAACGACATCGACACGAGCACTTTGGTTATGGTTGTGGTCGACTTGGCCGTCTTGGAACGCCACATCGACCAAAACCAGTACTAAACTGGCTTCGGTGTTCCGACGGTCCTGGGCATGCGCAAGACATCCACCAGGGTACATCCTCGATGTGGGTTGTGGTTGCTTGCTGCCCCCGCAACCTGGGCGGCGGAAAGGTAGGCAGGAACAGTCAGCATCAGATTGGGAAACCGGACCGGATGGGAATGTGCGTTGGACCGCAACGCATAAGCTGCGGCGTCGAGGATCGAATCGGATCGACCGCGCCGGGATGCACGACGGCGCCCTGCAGGCATCGGCCGCACCACACCGTCGGAAGACCGGAATCGTGTCGGATCGGGCCGGCCGAAAACGGCATCGACTCGGATCTACCGAGGCGGCATGGACCTGAAACGGGTCTTGCGCGCAAAAGCTTTGGACGCCGGAAGTGAACACGGCGGAAATGGGTACAATGCCCAATAACAGACGTTGTCCAAAGCCGACAGCGGCCGCTGTTGGACAGGACGCTCTGCGTCTTCAGTGAACAGCTTCCGCGGCGGTGCGGTCAGCGAGCCCTGTTCAAGTTGAACAGGAACTGCTGTTGGGCATCGTACCCTTTCTTTCCGTACCCCTGTCGATCGTCCCGCAAAGCGTGGCGGCCCCACAGGCCGCACGCTTTGCGGGAGTGTCCCCCTCCCCCTCCCCCTCCCCCCTCCCCCTCCCCCTCCCCCTCCCCCCCCCCCCTCCCCCTCCCCCTCCCCGCCCCCTCCCCCCCCCCCTCCCCCTCCCCTCCCCCTCCCCCCCCCCCTCCCCCTCCCCGCAAAGCGTGACTGTTCCCGCAGGCCGCAGACGCAGCACGCCGCACGGAAGCGAGGGCCGCCCGCGCGCGGCCGAACCTCCCGCGCGCCCAGGGCACGCGCGCGGTCGGCCCCTGTTGTGTTTCGGCGTCGTGCCTCTGCGCTCGCCGCCGATGTGCTGGAGGAGGGAAGCGCGAACAGGGGAGGAGGAGGAACAGCAGCAGCAGCTGTGGGAGGTGGGGGGGGGAAGGGGAGAGGGAGCGAAGGAGGGATGGAGGGACGTAGAAGATATGGACGTGTTTGTACACCGCTGGCTCTCGGGAGCCCGAATACCTAAGGACCTATGGACACCCTCAGCCTTGGCGAGAGGAGGGAGGGAGGTAAAAGGTAAGATGCGTTGTGGAGATGCTCAGGAGGTCCTCTGGCAATTTCAAGTACATCAGGGTTTCTGCCAATATCCGTCGGTCTGGAGAGAAGGAACTGAAAGAATCCGCCACCGTGCCCTGAGGCACGAGTTGGGGCGTCCACAGGTGATTGGCGCAATCCGTTGTCTGTCTTCAATCTTGAGGACTACTTCGGGGGCCCAGACCTCAAATTCTTCAATATCATGAAGTTTGGGATCCAAACGGATGGGGTAACCCGCACCAGATATTACGCTGAAATCATACGCTACTGCCCCATTGTTTATCCGTACAAAAGCATGAGCGGAAAAGTGAAAAGTGCAGTATGGAATGGGAGAATGCATCGCCGAAGAATCTGGGAAACCGTTTTCTGCCATTCGGGTGTTAGTGTGCCGCGACATCGGTGTAGTCAGAATATAATAGCGCTCCGCTTGGGATACAAACGGCGGCAGACGTAGGCACGGCGTTCGCGATGATCGTCTTTGACCGCCGATCAAATTCAGGAGGGGACGGGGGGGGAGCGCCGAGCGACGTCGAGGTCCACTTTAGTCCATGCGCGCGCACAGAAGGCAACCTCGCTGCTCCATCGAATCAGCGACTACTCACACATCAAAATGTGGAGGGGGTACGGAAAGACCTTCAGACACCACGAGTGACAACAGAGACAAGCATGAGGCAATGCTGGCTCATGTGCCTCATCCGCAAGCCCGATGCGGACCAGGCTCAGAAGATGCTGACTGGCTGGCCATGTACAGCGCTTCCGCTTCAAGCCAAGCTTAAATGACTGAATACCCGCCATCACTTGTAGAAATAAATCGTGATCAATTCAGCCCCTGACACGTCCATCGGCCGCCATGTCACGCACACCAATCCCCTCTGTGCCATGCACAGCACATGTTTCCATCACGTGCCGGTTCAAACTGATGCGGCCAATGGGGCACATTCAGCAGGTGTCTTACAATCCTTTCAAAGAGTGACTTGAACACATAATCGGCGTCAGTGGTAAGTGCTGCCTTAATGCAAAAGACAAGCGTTTCTGATATAGTCGCGCGTCGTGTCGGAGTAATGGGTTCAGCCTTCACTTCGCGTGGCGTGATGATGGCTGGGTAGAGAATCCTGCAAATTGCGGGCCGCTCCCAGGTCTGACCAGAGATGCGAGAGAGCATTGTAATCGACGCGATTTGAAGTGCACGTCTATATGGCGAACGACTGCATTTCTGGCGCGCGGCTACGCGGTAGTAGGTCGGTACCTCGGATGCCACGCCCCTGAACTTTCACGAAGGCGGCGCCGTGAAGGAGACGATAGCTGGAGTCGCCGTGCACGTTCACCTCTCCTGTCGGAGTCATGATTTGGCACATCCTTTCCTCGGGTTGTTGCTGCAATTTTCGCGCGACGGCGTTCAATCGACGCACTTGGCATGTTGGTCGGAATCCGGACACGTCGCAGTAAAGAAACCACGCACACAAGTAACCACACTCGGGTGATCAAGGCGCATGCTTACGCACCACGTGAACTGATGGAAACATCTGACACAATCTCCGTCGCCATTCCTTCTGCTCCAGCTCAGGTAAGTTCGGGTCACTATGCGGGACTAGGTTGGTTATGCATGTAGAAACAGATTGGCCAAACTCGACGTGGCCGTCCTGGGTCTGGGCACGTCGCGCGGCGAAGTTTGCGCAGCTATGTTGGGCGTGATACGTGTTACCACATTGGCGCAGCTGTCCGTAGTGCCGTCGGCCCAACGGTGTTCAAGTCGGGCCAAGAGGCCCCCCAGATCGCCCCAAGACGGCCCAACAGGCCCCCACGAGCACCCCAAAACAGCCCAAGCAAGAGGCTTCCAAGAGGCCCCAAGAGGCCCCCAAGAGTTTTTTTGAACTCAACAACCCACCCCGAATAGGCCCTCCTCCACGAACTCCATGAACAACGCGCCGACCACAAGGATGAGCACGAGGGCAAATAAGATGAGTGGCGAGGCCCACGCCAACGTCAGATCGAGGGAAATCACGACGAGGCGGATGCAGTCGAGATAATGACATACGAACCAATTTGACCCCCCCCCAACGGCCAGAACCAGACCACCGCGCACACGCCCTCGAGCGGGAGCCACATACAATACCAGGAAGCCCGTAGCCACATACAGCATCAGGAAGCTCCCCGAACAAGGAAAAACAAGCTGCAGGACGATATGAACCGATCCAGGCACAGGATGGGGAACTTCGCACGTAGATCACACCTACCCGAAGGCATCATCAAAAGACGAGACAACACTGACACGATCGAGGCCCGAAAGGTCGCTCCCACAGTCGTCGAAAATGGAGCAGCCACTATGCAACCTTTGGAAAAGCAGGCCTTCTCTAGGGGCACGTGGCAGTTCCGTCGGTGTCCATGAGCTGCTGGGTACAACTGGCTCCGCATCGGCCACGGAGCCTCCCACGCCCAAAGAGCCAGCGGCTCCCCGAGCAGCAGCATGCAGGACACCAACACCACCGACATCCGCAGCATCGGAATGCGGCTCCCAGGCTTTGCCAAAAGAGCCGAGGAATTTGCCAGCCACGCACTCCAAGACGGGCACTGCGCTCGCGACGCCGCCGAACTGCTGCTCCTCGATATCCTGGCGCACGGTCTCGGCCTGCGCGGGGAGCGTGGCCGCGAGGCGCAGTCCCGCCTCCAGGCCATCCCCGAAGGCCTTGGCCTGCAAGGCTGGGGCTCCGAGCGGGCTCTCCCAGGTGCCAGGAGCCGGCGCCGCGCCGCCTGAGACGGCCTGCGCCACCCCCTCGTCCAGCACGGGCCTGGCCGCACACCCCCAGCCTCGACGGGGCAACAGCGCAGGGGCCAGGCCGTGGGCCAGCTGCTGCCCAGGCGATCCCGTCGCCCGCGGCTGCGGCGAAACCACCGGCCGGCGCGAGAGCCGCATGCCAGGCTGCGTTTCGCCGGCTGCGTGTGGCGCCTGGCACTGCCGCGCCGGCCGACGGGAGTCTGAGCGCGGGCCGCGCCGCCGGCTCCCCGTCTTGCAAGGCGCCTGACTCGCCGACGCAGGCACGGGTGCGCAGCGCAGCATCGACGAGAGCCTCCCGAGGGCGCCGACGAGCAGCGCGGCGAGACGCCGTCGGACCGAGGGCGACGATGTAGGCGGCACGTAAGGCGCTGGGCCGCCGCGCACTCGGGCAGCCCCCCGCAGCCATCCAAGGCGTGCCCGCCGCCGCCGCCGAGCCGCCGACCATGGGCGAGAAGGCTGCGGAGAAAGTGGGGAACACGGCTTGAGCCAGAAAGGCTACGGAGGAGGCCCCCAAAAGGCTCCCGAGACGCCCCAAGAGGCCACAAAACCGCCTCCGAGAGGCCTCCCACGACATCGCAACGAACATCTAAGAGGACTATGACACACAACCAAGGCACGGTGGCGGGATAGGTCAAAGGCCATTCGATATCGAATAACAAAGAATTCCGCCCAACCCCTGGCGCCCGTCCATCTCACCCGCTGATCCACCTCCCCAATCCGCCCTTCGCCTCCTCTTCGTCCTCCTCATGTTTCTCCATCATCATCAGCGTCGCCGCCGCCGACGCTATCACTATCGCGTGTGTCCGTCATCTCATCAACTATAATCAACGCATCGATCCATAAATCTATACATACAAAATCGATGAGTATGTCGATCAATCAATGAATCAATCAATACAACCATCAGCAAGTAATCAGCATCATTATTTACCTCATCGTCAACATAGCATCATCACCAGCATCATCATCAAAAGCATCATAATGATCATCATCATCATCATCATCATCATCATCATCAGCATCAGCAGCATCATCATCATCATCATCATCGTCATCATCAGCATCATCGTCACCGTCTCATCATCATCATCATCATCATCATCATCATCATCATCAACATCATCATCATCATCATCAGCAGCAGCAGCAGCAGCAGCATCACCATCGTCATCGCCGCCATCGTCATCGTCATCATCATCATCAGCAGCATCATCATCAACAGCATCATCATCAGCAGCAGCAGCAGAGGCATCAGCATCATCATCATCGTCGCCATCGGAGTTTAGATCATCAGTATCAGCAACAGTATCATCACGACCAACACCACAATCAGAACAACCAGTTTCAGCATCTGCACCGCCAACCTCATCATCGTCGTATCGACCATCGACATTATGGGCATCAGCACCATCGGCATCATCATCATCACCAGCATCATCACCAGCATCATCACCATCGCCACCACCACCACAACCATCAGCATAATCAGAATTATGATCCTAATCATAATCAGAATCATAATCAGAATCAGCATCGGTATCATATTCATCATCATCAGCATCACCATCATCACCATCAACAGCAGCATCGCCGTCATCATCAGCGTCATCATCGTCGTCGTCATCAACATCGTAACCATCGTCATCGGTATCCTAATCGACATCATCATCAGCAGCAGCCGCAGCAACACCAGTATCGGCATCGTCAACATTATCAGCATCACCATCAGCTTTCCTACCATCGAAATTATCATCGGCATGGCCATCGACATTGTCATGGATTCCATCAGCATCATCATCCGAATCGGCGTCATCAGCAGCAGCCTGATGATCATCATCCTCACCAGCATCACCATAATCATCACCATCATCAGCAGCAGCATTGTCATCGTCATCAGCATCACCATCATCAGCATCATCAGCATCATCATTATCATCATCATGCACATCATCGTCGTCAGCAGCAGCACTGTTAGCATCGTCCGAATCATCCACTGTCAACTCCCCGTCGCATCCCCATCTCCCGCCTCCTTGTTGACGCCCTCATCGTCATTCTCCGCATTATCAACTATTCAACTCATCAACCAACTCCTCCGAATCCTCGACTTGCACACCCTCGTTGTTCCTCCTTCTGCGCTCCTCCTTTACCCGTCTTCTAGTCGTCATGCTCTTCCTAATCTTCCACATTCTCATCCTCGTGCGCCTCCTCATCACCATCATTCGCCTCCTCCTCCCCCTCCTCCTCCCCCTCCTCCTCCTCCTCCGCCTCCTCCTTCTCCTCCTCCTCGTTCGCCTCCTCATGATTAGCCTTCACCTCCAGGAGCGCTCTTATGGGGGGCAGACTATTCCATTGGCGAAGACCTCATCGTCCTTCGCCTCCTCCTCCTCCGCCTCGTGTCCATCCTTCTCGTCGCGTCATCCTGCAACATCCTCGCGCCGTCGTGGGCATGTACGCCGCGCTGCACTAGGCGAGGCGGCGGTGCTCAAGCGCCACCGCTGCAGACAATATCGTCCTGAGGGTTAGGACGATGCTGCAGACGGCGTGTCTGATCTGCTTCAAGGAGCAGTTGAAGCGAGTGGCCAGAATGTAGTCCAGGACCCACCTGATATGGGGGTAAGGACGCCGCTACCACTTGCTGGGGCATGCTGCTCCTTCTCATCTCCATCGTCCAACTGTCGAGCGCCGCTCGGGCATGCGCCTAGTTCTGGTGGCATTGCCTCGCCCAGGCACGTCGACTCCCCCACCGTTTCGTGTGATGTTCTCCCCAGGGCGAAAGGGAGAGAGAGGACCTCGAGAACGGGAGGGTGAGGAAGAGGGGACAAGGACGAGGATGGGGAGGAGAAGGAGCAGCAGCGGGTTGGGAAGAGAATGGACAGCACCAGCATCAGCAGCAGGAGCAGCAGGAGCAGCATGGAGGAGTGCTGATCGGGTGGACAGAGGGGGGGGGGCTACCCGGCGCACCTCTCGGGCCCCACGAGGCTCCGAACCCATTTCGGGGGGAGGGAACAACATCCAAGAACAAAAACGCACGAGAAATCACAAATGAAAGCAATCTGAGGGGGGGGGGGCACTTCCACCAAAAAAACACCGAAGGGGAGACTCGAGACACCCATTCGGGCTGTTTTTGTTCCCGAACTACCACGCCCAACTGGGGCCCCCAGGAGGCTTCAAGGGGCCCCCAAGAGGCTCGAGGCCCCAAGACGCCCCCAAGGGGCTCACGAGAACCTCCCAGAGGCCCCCAAGAAGCCTCAAAACTGCCAACCCGAAGCCTCCGAGACCCCTTCGAAGAGCCCCCAGAAGCATCCCTGATGACTCCAACCCACAACCCAGACACTGTAGCGGGATGGGCCGAAGGCCATTAGATCGTTGATACGTCCTGGGCCCACTCTGCTTCTCCTTCTCCTCCCTGACTTCTTCCGCCACAACTTTCACGCTCCATGATGCCCCTCCCCCTCTTTTTCTCGTCCTCCTCCCACTCGTCTTCCGCAATGGATCCTATCTGAGGTGAAACGGACATAATGACAGTGAAGTCGTCGCCGTCGCCCCACGATCTGTGCAACGGGCGCGCGGGCTCCGAATGCGAAAAAGGAGGACAATCCCAGGATAAGGACCACCTTGCGACCACTAATTCTGACAATCAGGTCGAGACCCGATGGTGGGAGCGCTCCGGCGACGAAACGCCCGTGGAAAAATGAAAAAGAACAATTCCGCGATACCGATGGATCAACACAGACTGCATGAAAGCAGCGGCGGGGGGACCGCGCGATGGCCTCAGTGCGTGTCTATTATCGGCACCAAGGTGGTGGGGGTGGTGACGCAGGAGACGAACATGACGACGACGATGACGTGTTTTGCGCTAGCTCGCGACTGCGTCTTTGGGCTGTGTCTTCGGGCAATCAGGCATTCAAGCAACAACCTACGTTGTACGAGATGCCGCTGTAGTTGGGAGTCTGAAAGACTCCGATGGTCATAGTGAATTCACAGTGGCCATATGGAAATGCGCTGCAGCTTGCAGGGTCCTGCCGCATACGCCGAGAAAGACAACCACTGGCCGATGTCCTATTTGCAACTTTGAAATAGGCCTTGCAGTCATGGATCTTCACAGCCGAATTTACGACGATCCACCGATCCCCATCGGATCACCAAACGTGCGAATTCTGAGATTGCTTCCCTCGGAACCAACACCAGGGGAACCGTTGTGGTCGTCGTGGGTCGTCGTGGGTCGTCGTCGTCGTCGTCGGCGGCGGCGGCGGCCTCGTCGTCGTCGTCTTCGTCTTCGTCTTCGTCGTCGTCGTCGTCGTCGTCGTCTTCGTCGTCGTCGTCGTCGTCGTCGTCGTCGTCGTCGTCGTCGGGGGGGGGGGTCCGGGCGGCAATATTCCCTTGAGGCCGCCCCAGGACTGCCCCAGAACGGCTCTAGAGGCCTCCAAGACAGCGCAGGAGTTCCCCGAAGGCCCCAAGAGAACACGAGAGGCAGCAAGAGATACCCCAGGAGGGCCCGAAGAGGTTTCACACCGCCGCGGTCGATGAGCGACCTGGAGTTGTCGAATGCGTGCTGCTGCTCTGCGATTCCCGGTGCAGAAAACTACGTCCAGGACTGATCCGAACGCCCCAGGACGGCCTGGGATCGGGGAGACGTAAGACTCGGGCTCCTCCTCCTCCTCCTCCTCCTCCTCCTCCTCCTCCTC